CCCCCCCCCAAGCTTGCATCAGCCTCACCATTAGCCTTGTGGCATCACATGGCCCTGTGGTTGCCGCACTGGACTGGCTGGGCTGTTACAGGGTGCAGAGGAGGACTTTCACCACCTGCAAGCCTGGAGGCCCCCAACCACAGCACCCTGGAGTGTACCAGGGCAGGGCCCCCCGGGGTACATTGGAGGGACCTAGAGCTCCCGAGGTTGAAATAAGGCAGGGGCAGCTGGAAGACAGGCCAGACTGGGGTCAGGAGGGTAGGGGACCAGGTGGGCCAGGGGTCAGGGTTGTGCCCAGTGCCAGGGGAGCAAGGCAGAGGGGAGATGCCAGCTGGGCTTTACTGGGGACCACAGAGCAAGCAGAGCCCTGCCTTAACCTCAGAAGAACTGAGGCATCACCCACAGGGGCAGGCAGAGGTGGGGGCAGGCCCACCCCACCAGACCTGGGACAGCGGCCTGGACAGCTCCCAGCACTGGTCTGTGGCTGGGCTGGATTCACACTCAGCTTCCGCCTCCTGGGACCCTTGTATATGGTTCTCTGTTTTTTTTTAATTGCACTTTCTGAATGTGTCCCACCATTTCACTGTGGTGACTCTAGGACCTCGTAGAACACAGCACCACACACAAGTCACCAGGCCCTTCCTTGGCCCCCTGGCTTTTTTGAGCAGCTAAGACATTCCTGGGGCAAGCACACAAGGAGCAGCAAAGGCTTCCAGCCTCTCCTGCCCAGATCCAGCCTGCCTGGGTTCTCACAGAGCAACCACATGACACCTCTGTGTGGCTCCTGGGCCCATCACTACCTGGTCCTTGTTTTGTGGCCTGTGGTTTGCATGGGCTCACTCAGGCAGGCCAGCCTCCCATTTGCTACATGCCTGAGGATGAACTTGAACTCCTAACCCTCCTGAAATCATAGCCCCTGGAAGGCTGAGACAGGAGGATCGTGAGTTCCTGGCTAGCCCAGGCTACAGAGTGAGAGCCTGGCTCAAAATGGGTAGTATTTCCTCTCCTCTACGTCCCCTGTCTGGATGTTTCCCATCATGGAGCCCCACACTGTGGTTTTTTGTGTGGTCTCCCTGTGTCAGAGCCTTGCTGCATGATACTCTGATGCGTGGACAGTCTGTTCCTACCCATTCACTGGTGGCCCCTCATCTGTGAAGGGTCTATGTGTACACCGTCTGTCTCTCTGACACTGGGAGTGGATTCCTGGGTCCCATGGTAACCTTCAACTGTTTGAGGGACTGGGACCCAAGAGGGTGCCAGGGTCTAGGAAGGGCTGGGGTGTTGGTGTTGAACAGGAGAACTTCAGCTTGTGAAGGTGGAATATTCTGGAGAGGGATGCTTTTGCCTGTCTCTGTATTCAGTGTCTTTGGCCTTGTGTGGACAGGGAGAGGGCTTTGGGGTGTGGGGTGTGAGGGTGGGACAACAGACCTGGAGCTGGTATCTGTGAGGTTTCAGCAGGAGAAACTTTCTTGGCTGGGGTCGGGGAGGGGGCTGGCTATCCTCTCTCCTGCCCACCGACTGCCATATAGACCGTGAGCCTTGTGCCAATAAAACTTTATTTTCAAAAGCCAGTGATCCTTGAGCACCAAGCCTGGCCATGCCCCTTCCTGCCTCAGCTGTTGGGCCACTGCCTTTGCAGCCTCCTTGCAGCTCTTGGCCAGGCTCAGCTGGCACACAGCTGCTCCAGTGGCTGATGGAGACTATTGTCCCCAGCCTGCACTCAGGGTTTGGCCCTGACTGCATGTGCCTGCCAGCACTGGGCGCTGAACACATTGCTCCCTCCTTCCCAGGCTGAGGGGCCCTGAGCCAGGGCTTCCTTGCTCTTGAGTCCTGTGGTCCTGGTTCTGAGGGGCCTGAGGGCTTGTCACCCTCAGCTGTATACAAAGTGGAGGTCAGCCAGGACTACATGTGATCTTGCTGCAAAAATTTTAAAATTTAAAAGCCCAGTTTGTCCCTCTCCAGTGTGGCATTCTGCATGGCCTGGGGTGCAGCTGCACCCACAGCCCTGCTGACCTCGCTGACACTGCTGACCCGCAGCCCCGCCGACCCCGCCGATCCCGCTGATCCCGCTGATCCCGCTGACCCCCTGCCATGGACCAGGACTACGAGCGAAGGCTCCTGCGGCAGATTGTCATCCAGAATGAGAACACGGTGCCCAGTGTTAGTGACTGAGGGCTGGGTCACCTCCCCGGGTTGTACGGACCCTTGGGCTGCCCATCAGACTCCATCCCTGGTCCATCATCCTGGTCCATCATCCCATCTGGTCTGTCACCCCATCTGTCCTTCCTCCTCTGTCAACCTGTCCGCTACCCCATCCCCCACTCCATCACCCCGTCCATCCCCTGTCCATCACTGAGTGACACAGTCCCTCCCTAGGTGTCGGAGATGCGCAGGACGCTGACCCCGGCCAACTCCCCTGTGTCCTCTCCCAGCAAGCATGGGGACCGTTTTATCCCATCTCGGGCTGGGGCCAACTGGAGTGTCAACTTCCACAGGATCAATGTGAGCCACTGGGTGGGCATGGGGTGGGAGGTGAAGGCGGGGAACTCATGTGACCCTGCAATGACCCCTGCGGCCGTGACCCCTCCCACAGGAGAATGACAAGTCCCCCAGCCAGAACCGCAAGGCCAAGGATGCCACCTCGGACAATGGCAAAGGTGAGGCGGCCCCGCCCGCCCAGGCCCCACCCACCGCCTCTCCCAGCCTTGGCCCCGCCCACAACTCTCCTGCCCTTCCTCCCGCAGACGGCCTGGCCTACTCTGCCCTGCTGAAGAATGAGCTGCTGGGCGCTGGCATCGAGAAGGTGCAGGACCCACAGACGGAGGACCGGCGGCTGCAGCCGTCCACGCCGGAGCACAAGGGCCTGTTCTCGGTGAGCGTGGGACGCGGGGGTGGGGCAGCCTGGTGACGGGGAGGGCTGAGGTGGGCAGCCTGGGAGCCTGGGGGGCAGGCCAGGGGTCGTTCCGGCTCAGTATGGCATGCTGTCCGCAGTATTCCCTCAGCACCAAGCGTGCCAGCCCCGATGATGGCAACGATGTGTCCCCATACTCCCTGTCCCCGGTCAGCAACAAGAGGTGAGGGGCAGGGCCTGCAGGGCGAGCCGGGGGCGGGGCTCCTGGTGGGCGGGGCTCCTGGTGGGCGGGGCTCCTGGTGGGGCAGGGTGCAGCGCACTCAGCTGTGTCTCCCCACTCCCTGCAGTCAGAAGCTGCTGCGATCCCCCCGGAAGCCCACACGGAAGATCTCCAAGATCCCCTTCAAGGTGTTGGACGCCCCCGAGCTGCAGGATGACTTCTACCTCAATTTGGTGGACTGGTCCTCCCTCAACGTGCTCAGTGTGGGGCTAGGCACCTGTGTCTACCTGTGGAGCGCCTGCACCAGCCAGGTGGGCACCTGTGCCAGCTGGGACCCTATCTCTCTCTCACACACACACACACACATGCACGCTAACCACTGTGTCCTCCCTTGGGGGTTTGACTTGTGCCCCTGGTGTCAGTCAAGTGCCACCTGCAGGGCTGACTTCTAGGTAGGAGAGGAGGGCAGCCTGCTCACAGACCACACTCTCCCTGCCACACCCTCCACCCCATCCCCAGACCCCATTCCCACCATACCCCCCGACACTCTCCCTACCACACCATACCCCCTCCACGCTATCCACCTTCTCCCTGAATCAAGAGCCGCCCCAGTGCCAGTCCTACGCACCGTGGGCTGAGCAATCACTAACGGGATAATAACCACGGGCCCTTGGGTCTGAGGACCTGTCACCTGACTGACCTGCTGCCCCCAGGTGACCCGGCTCTGCGACCTCTCTGTGGAAGGGGACTCTGTGACCTCGGTGGGCTGGTCTGAGAGGGTGAGTGCGGAGGGCAGACCTAGGGTTCACCTGTGTCTTCAGAACAGGAAGGACGGCCCACCCTGGGGCTCCCTCTGCCAGGATCCCCTGTGACCTTCAAGGAGTTGGGGTGGTTTCGTTTCGTTTTTGTTTTTGGATTTTTTTTTGAAACAGTCTCGCTGTAGCCCCGGCCAGCCTGGCACTCACTATGTAGCCCAGGCTGATCTTGATCTCACAGAGACCCACTGTCTCTGTCTCTGAGTTCGGGGGTTAAAGCTCTGCTGGAGAGTGGTGAGAAGCCACAGCTACCTGGAAAGCACTGGGCACGTCACAGTTTCAAGGGAGAACAGGAGGAGTTGGACAGAGGGCTTGGGTTCAGTTCCCAGCAACCCACATGACAGCTCACAATCTGATGCCCTCCACAGGCATTGCATACATATAACATATGCAGGTAGAGCATTCAGACACATAAGATAAAAATAAATACAATTGGCCGGGCATGGTGGTGCATGCCTTTGATCCCAGAACTCTGATCCCGGAACTCGGAGGCAGAGGCAGGTAGATCTCTGTGAATTCAAGGCCAGCCTGGTCCACCTAGTGAGTCCCACTCGGCAAGACACACTCGGCTCCTACCTTTAATCCCAGCACTCCAGGAGCCAAGGCAGGAGCATTACCACGAACTTGAGGTCTGCATGGGCTACAGCGTGAATTTAGGGCTAGCATGGGCTATGGAGTGAGCCCCTGTATCAGAGAACACTAGACTGAGGCCACCCTGGGTCCCTGGTGGGAGACAAACCGGGTATCCTCACACCTGTGCCTCCCTAACGTCCACCTGGTCACCGTATCCTCCAGGGGAACCTGGTCGCAGTCGGCACACATAAAGGCTTTGTGCAGATCTGGGATGCAGCCGCTGGGAAGAAGCTGTTAGTTCTGGAAGGCCACACGGCGCGCGTGGGTGAGGACTTAGCTGGGCCGCTCCTGTGGGTCCACAGCCACAGTCCAAGAGGAGGCTCACCCTCTGTCACCTCATGTCACCCCACAGGGGCGCTGGCCTGGAACGCAGATCAGCTGTCGTCTGGCAGCCGCGACCGCATGATCCTGCAGCGGGACATTCGAACGCCGCCTCTGCAGTCAGAGCGCAGGCTGCAGGGCCACCGGCAGGAGGTGTGTGGCCTCAAGTGGTCCACAGACCATCAGCTGCTGGCCTCAGGGGGCAACGACAACAAGGTACAGCCTGGGCCTGAAGTGGGCCCATCCCTAATGCCCAGCCACACGCACTCCAGAGCTGGGGCAAGAGTATCCCTGGGGTCACCAAAAGAGGGGCCTAGCATGGGGGTGCACAGCTCTCTTCTCCTCCAGGGTTAGATTCCAGTGGGAGCAGCTCATGCCCCCTGGGTAATCTTGAGGGGTTCGTGGCTTGTGTTCCTGGCCTAAGGGTGTGCTGCCCATGTGCCTAAGGTTGGTCTGGGGGCACATCTTGCGTCCCTGGTGGCCCCATCAAGCCTCGTGTCCCCATAGCTCCTGGTTTGGAACCACTCAAGCCTGAGTCCCGTGCAGCAGTACACGGAGCACCTGGCAGCTGTGAAGGCCATTGCCTGGTCTCCGCACCAGCACGGGCTGCTGGCATCAGGTGGTGGCACAGCCGACCGCTGCATCCGCTTCTGGAACACTCTGACAGGCCAGCCGCTGCAGTGCATCGACACAGGCTCACAAGTGTGCAATCTAGCCTGGTCTAAGCACGCCAATGAGTTGGTGAGCAAGGAGTACATTCGGGGGGACTGGCCAGCCTGGTCCACAGCATCGCTGAACCCACAGGGAGCAGGGATGACACAGCCCTGCACCCCTCAAAGCATCACTGGGTTCAGCAACAAACTCATGCTGAGCTGGGATAGAGGCGGTGCCCAGCCCTGTCCCATTTCCCCCTGGGGATGTGTGACATGAGGTCTCCACACCGCATTCCTGATCCCTAACTCCCCACGCAGGTGAGCACACATGGCTACTCACAGAACCAGATCCTGGTGTGGAAGTACCCGTCCCTCACGCAGGTGGCCAAGCTCACCGGCCACTCCTACCGAGTCCTCTACCTGGTGAGTGCCAGCTGCTGCCGATCACCTGAGGTCTGTGGCCACCTTGGGTTTGTGGCACAGGAAGGGCACAGGAAGTCAAAGCCCTGTCCCCAGCCAACAAGGCACCAGGCTCTCGGTCTGTCCACCCTATTGTGGTCAGTAACATACCAGCTGACCAGTCCCCACCCCAGGATTCTGCTGGACCCTGTTCTGGGCCCTTGCTGCACATGGCCTCTGTCCAGCAAAGCCTTAACATCTGCTGAGCTAGACTGCCATGTGCAGGAGCCCAGGAGAGTTCCCAGGGCCACCGTGCAAGTGTGTGTCCCCTATGTCCTGTGCACTTGGCTAGGGCCTGCTGTTCCCTGGTGGGCACCCCTTCCCTTGCACCCCACCTGCTTCCACTGTGGTTCCTGCGGCCACAGGCCTGTCAGGCCTCCCTGTCCCCTGCAGGCCATGTCCCCTGATGGAGAGGCCATCGTCACTGGGGCTGGGGATGAGACCCTGAGGTTCTGGAACGTCTTCAGCAAAACGCGCTCCACAAAGGTACCGTTGGGGGCAGTACATCCCCTTCCCATGCCCAAATGACCCCTGTACCCTTGTCTTGTTGTCCCCTCCCACCACCCCAGTTGTCAATGGCTCATAGCCCCTTGGGTCCCCTGTCCCCAGGAATCCGTGTCAGTGCTGAACCTGTTCACACGGATCCGGTAGAACCACGGCAGGACACAGCCCCACTGGGCAACACCGAGCTGTCCCCGCTGTCCCCAGAGGCACCAGGCGGGGACGGGAACCAGGCCAGAGCCCTGAGTCTCATTAAACGCCTTGAGCGCTATGGAGCTGCTGTGTGGGACAGGGGACACAGGGACCCTTGGCACTCAGATGGACACCTGTCACCTCCCTGTCACCACTGCCCAAGCCGCATCAGACGCACAGCTGAGCAGGTGGCTCGAGACCCAGTGTCACCAGTGCTGGACATCCCGGGAGGTGCTGGCAGGGACACAGGCTCTCACCCCACAATCGGTCACAGAGGTCCCCACCAACCCATGTCCTGTGTACACCTCCTGCAGCCCCTTCTCCTGAGTGTCCCCCCCCCAGCTGGCAGTCTCGTCCGCCTCATCCACCTCATCCTGGTCTTCTGGAAGCTTCCCGGGCCTCCCTGACTTCAGATCCTGTCTCTGCTGTCCCTCCATACCACGGGGACACTGTGGGTCCCCAGTGTGGTGGCCACAGCCCGTGGTGTGTGCATGTGTGTATATATGTATTTGTGACGCCTCTGGATCTGTCTGTTGTTTTGTTGCTGGGTCAGCGGGTCCCAGCGGTGCTGACCCAGCCTTGGAGACATGGGCTACCACAGGGTTGTCGGCCACATGGGTCAGGACCTTAACATCTGTCAGACATTCTATTCTTAGAAAAGCTCTGTCCAGGCCGGCGCAGCTCAGTAGGCAGAGTGCTTTGGACTCAATTGATAAAGCGCTTATAGCTAAGTGGGTAGAGCACTTGCCCAGTATGCACTGAGCCCTGGGTTAATACCCAGTATCACATAAACTGTGTGTTACGGTGCGTGCCCATCATCCCAGCACTCAGGAGGTGGAGGCAGGAGGATCAGGGGTTCTGGGTCATCTTCAGCTACATAAGGAGTTGGAGTCTAGCCTGGCCTAATAAGAACCTTCCTCAAACAGGCCTCAAAAAAAAAAAAAAAAACCACTCAGAACCCTCAGGCTGTTGCTGGCTTTACAGTGCCCTTCAGGGGCCCCCTCATGACCATCTCCTGCCCAGGCCAGAGGTCTAAGACGAAAGACAGAGTGCAGTTTGCATCTGAGGGGTGATACCCCTGGTGTGGGTTCAGGAGGCCCTGTGGGCACACCTGCCCTGGACAGAGTGGCCTGCTGGCCACTTGGACACCGATGTTGCTGTCACTGAGGTGGCAGCTTGTGTGGGGCAAGGGCAGCTATCTGGGAGTCCCCTCTGGAAACCCCAACTTCGCTCTGGGGGGTCCAGGTCAACCCAGTCTCTTTTTACATGGTGAGCTGGTGGGGGCGTCACATGACACTGTGGGCCTTGCAGGATACAGTGTGTATTTCCATGGGTCCCAAAGGGGAGGCTGGGGTTGTGGGGTATAGAGGGAGAAGGGACAGGGCTCAGGGCTCAGGACTCCAGGACTATAGAATCTTCCAGAGCAGCAGACAGGCAGGCAGAAGGGTGGCTGAGGAGGAAGTCTGGCTGGCCAGAGGAAATGTGATAGGATTGAGGTTGTGCAAAGGCAGCCGGCGTGTTGGGTTTGTAGAGGGCAGGAGACAGGGCAGGTGGCGGTATGTACCAGCTGAGACAGGACCAGGAGGATCCAAGTGAGATGGGCTTCAGCCCCAAGCACAAGTGGTCTGTGGGATCCAGGCCACTCCTGGGTGCAAACCAGTGAGAGCAATACACAGAGCCCTTTGGGGTTTGGATATGTTGACATTTCTTTATTGTGGTAAGCTTTGCAGTGTGCAATGTACTGTCATAAAGCAAGCAGACCAGTGGCTCCCATATCTTAAGTTATCCAAAATTACCACTAATCCCAGAACATTCCATCAGCAAAGAGAAGCCCCTGCCCCCTCCCCAGCCGCAGCATCCACTTCCCATCTCTGGCTTGTCATTTCCTCTCATGGAGCCCCACTCTGTGGCTCCTTGTGTCTCAATGTGATGTCCCCAAGGTCCCCTCCATGCCTTGGAGTGTGTAGAGGCCCCACTTCTGTTCAGGGCTGAGTAGTACTCTTGTGTGGATGGGCAGGGAAGCTGAGGTTCACCTTGGCCCTGGTGGTTCCAGCCTCACACCAGAGAGGGAGATGAGGTCATGAGGACCAGAGCTGCCCACCTCCTCATTGCTAGGACACCTTTGTCCCTGTCAACAGTGGCCCTACAGCCCTGGTGACCAGAGTCTAGGAACACAGAGGCAGTCATGGAGAACCTGAGGCGGGAGGCTGCCTGGCGCCACGTCCCCTCAAGAACCCTCGGACTCCACTTTCCCCGTCCTCTCTACAGGTGGATCCCCACCCAGGAGTTTGGGGTGTCCCCTCCCAGGAAGAGCCTCCTTTGCCAGTGTACTGGGACCTGGTGGGAATCCTGCCCATGCTTCAAAGTGGGATTTGTGTGACCCCATCTCCCTGCATCCCAAGCACCCAACCCTTGGTCCAGAGACCCCTTCCCCACACCCAGAAGTCAAGTCCCCAGTCTGCAGTCCTTGGGGTCAGAAACAAATGGACTCAACATTCAAATGCTGGTGGGCAAAAGTGGTCATGAGGGTGCAGGGCTGGGTCCCCTGGCATCCTTGAGGGGTACCAGGCAATCCAGAGTCTCCTTGGGCAGGAGTTTTTCTGTTTACTGTGTAGCCCAGGATGACCCCGAACTGATCCTCCTGTCTCCACCTCCCCACTGCTGGGCTGACAGTTGTGTGACCCCCAGCTTTTGTTTTGAGATAGGGTAGCTCAGGCTGCTCTTAAACTCACAGTGATCCCCCTAACTCGGTTCCTGAGTGCTGGGGTGACAGACGTGCATCATTAGCGCACAGAGCAGCAGAGCCCTCTACTTCACAGACCTTGTTTGGGCTTTGCTGTTTGTGGTCCTGAGGTGAACCCAAGGTCAAGATTTGGCTGGCAGCTCCCGCAGCCCCAGGCTTGGTTTTTGAGGTGTAGAGGGGATACTTACTCATCAGCAGCCTGCAGATCCCTGTACCCCAGGTCTTGTTCCTGCAGTCCCCAGCCTGGGCCCCTCCTGTGGGGTCTCTCCCTTCCCTCGTGGGTCGTTGGCCACCGCTCCACGACGACAAAGGGAGCAGAAGTGATGAACGGGGTCAGGATGGCCAGTGAGCACTGACGGAAGAAAGCCCTTCTGGGGAGGCAGGTTCAGGGATACAGTTTATTCAGTGGGGGTCAGGGAAAATATAGTGTGGAGGCAGCAGCCAAAGCCTCAGCTGATCGGCGCTCATAGTATGCTATATTTACATGTGGTGGGGGGAGCCTATCATCGACTACCGGGCAATGCCTAATTATCATATAGCAAAAACCTGGGGGCAGTTTTTACTCCAGGTAACTATGCCAAGGTCATGTTTTAAATGAGGCCAAGCATCCAAGCTTGGCGGCACTTTCAGGTAAGTCAGGCAGGAAGCCCCTACTGAGAAAGGAGCCGACCTTAACAGCAGGGTTCCCCAACACCCTCCCTGTCCTATCTCCAAGCAAAAGAACACTTTAGCCAGGCATGGTGACTCTGACCTGTCACCCAGACACTCAGAGGCAGAGGCCGGAGGATCTCTGAAGCCAGCCTGGTCTACATAGTAAATCACAGACCAGTTGGGGCTACACGGTGAGACCCTGTCTCAGAACCCTAAAGAAAAGCCTGAGCAGGGTTCCTCAGCTACATAACGGCTAGAGGCCCAGTGTGAGCTACATGTCTTAAAGACAAAGCTTAAAGCTGAAGGTGGGGACACTCGGCAGAGAAGGGATGACCACAACGTCTTTGTGAAGAGCTCATCCTCAAGATGGGGAAACTGAGGCAGGGAGCAACAGGGCCTCCTGCTCAGTCCCATCCCGTTGCCAGCGATGACTACCTGTCCCTGGAGGGGCACCGCTGGGCACCAGCTATCAGTCAGGCTACGGCTGGAAGTACACACCCATGGGCCACAATGCAGCCGGCCAGCTGTGCTACACCAGCCTGACCACAGATGACCCACAAGAGACCTGGTTCACACTGCTGAGGTCACCGTCACCGCACAGTCCACACCGCAAGCCCCATGCTCAATGGCTCAGCTGCTTCCAGCATCGCCAGCATGGTCTACCGCCAGGTGAGTGTCACCCTGGCCCAGCCCTGGCCACCACCCGCCTGTGCTGACCACAACCTCCCCTCAGGATCCACCCAGCACCTAGGAGAAGCGACCATCCATGAGCCCGTGGTCCCTGTGCAGTACCACAGTCCCAACACATGGTGGGGGAGTACGCTATGGAGGGACAGGTCTATCCTCGGCAAGGAGTACAGTGAGCAGGGGTAGGGAGGGATGCAGGACAGATGGACAAGGGTGGGGGACAGGAGACAGGGACAAAGGACAGGAAGATGGAGAGTCTGACAGAGTAAAGGACAGCTGAGAATGGAGGGATGGGCAGGAGGACAGCACAGGATGGGACCTGGGGAAACCGTGGGGACAGGATGCGGGGAGCAGATGGAGGACAGACGAGTGGCAGGGGACAGGGACGTAGAAAACAAGGGTAAGGCTGGGATGCGGGAACCTCAGTCAGGTGGATCTTTGTGGATTGGAGGCTAGTCTGGGCTACATAGGTATTTTGAGGCTAGTCGGTTACATAGCCACTTCCAGGCCATCCTGGGCTACAAAGTGAAACCCTGTCTCAATAAGAGAAAGAAAAAAGGGGGACAGAGGGGACAGAAAATGGGCGGGGGGACAGGACAAGGCTGACAATAAGTAGGGACAGTGCTCAGGGCAGGCACACTTCCATGCCCAGTGGGTGTGGCCCCTTAGGTGGGCATGGCGGGTGCACAGGCCCCATCCTCTGGCCATTGCCCATCCCGAGAAGTCCTGCCTGGCCCCCACTTGGCCAGCAGAGCCCAGGACACTGGCATCACCCACTGACCCGGGGCTGGGTGTCCAGTGGTCAACAGGAACCGATTCGGGGCAGAGCCCCACTGGCCCTGGCAGGCGTCTGACTATGTGGCTCACTTGTCTGCGCCACAGCGGCCACGCTACACCACGCAGAACTTCCACCACTGGGACCTGGAGCCATACTGCCCTGCTATTGGGCAGCAGCCAGCCCTGGCCTTCACACCCGCACTCTGATAAAGCTCCTGCTGCAGACCAGGCTCTTTGTCTGATGCTACCCCCTCCCCGTGGGGCCCACATGGCCCTCAGCACACACGCCCACAGTCATCTGTCTACATCCACTGGTGGCTTTTTATTCCTGTAAGAGCGCAAGGCAGCCTGCTGCCCACTAGGCTGGGGCGCAGCCCCGTGGTGGCCTGGTCTCCTGTGGGGCCTTGTGCCAGGCTGTCCCCGATGGACGCTGGCCATACCCTGGGAACCCACAAGCCTGGGGACCTGCCCTCACCCTGACTGTAGACAGGTGTCTGTCCCTGGGATCTGGAGGTATGGGGACCCAGAAGTTGAACCAGGCCACTCACTGGCCCCTGGGTCTTAGAAAGCTTGGCCAGGTATCCCGTCCCCAATCATCAGCACTGTCCTGTGTTGACCGTGCCCCTGCTGGGCAGCTCCTGCTGGGCCGAGCATCCACATGCGTCAATGAAGTGCATTTCATTCCTTTGGGTGGTCAAGGAGGTCATGGCCGATCCCCAGGGTCCCCTGAAAGGAAGGAGTGTGGTGGGGTTGGAAGAGGTGGGTGCCAGATGGCACCCTGGCCTCAGTCCCCAGACAGATCACAGTAAGGGTCATAGACTCACGAGTGCGCAGACGGATGGGCCAGATGAAGAGGCTGGACAGAGCCAGGGCCGCAGCCACACCCACGCCACCTGTCACGGCCACCATCACCCAGTGGTAGAAACCCACGCAGGCCCTGCAGCACAGCTCTGAGCTGTGGACAGAAGATGGACTGAGTGGCCAGGCTATGGAGGGGCCAGCCACAGCCCCTCCCACTCCCATCCCAGCCAACCCCTCCCTCCTCCACCTGGTCCCCAGCTCCTACAGCAGTTGTGTCCCTCTCCAGTAGCCACCAGAGGGCACCCATGAGAACTAGCACCCCCCCCCCACACACACACACCAGCTACAGGGTACTCCTGGCTGCTATCCTGCCCAGGATCTTTGCATGGCTGTGTCCTCTGCTCCAGGACGTTTGCACGGCTGTGATCACTGCCCTGTGAGGGCAGGGAACAGGGCCAGCCTGTGTAAAGTCCTAGGCCAGTCCATCTGCATCTGGACCACACGTTTCGAGGTCCTGAGTGACTCTGCTTCCCTCCAGTGTGGCCCAGGCACATTTGTTAGAGACTCAGTGTTTGTTGAATGAATAAACTGCCCATAGTAAGCAATGTGTGTCAAAGTGTGAATGTGGGACACTCACGGGCAGGGATGCAGACTCTGCACAGCCATGACCGCCAGCCCGTTGGCCACCTTATCGGAAAAGCTCATAGCACCATACACGAAGGCTCCACTGTGCTGGGGGACACAGCAGAGGGTCAGTGCCCAGTGGGGCACATCTGGTCCTCGGCCTCCCAAGGCGTCTCCCTTCCAGCCCTACCGTGTGGGGGCCAATGAGGTCAGCTGTCATGGCCAGTGAGGTGACAAGGATGGTGGCACAGCCGGCACCCAGCAGCACAGCGGCCCCGTACACAGACACACCCATCTTATCTACTAGGGCCACCCAGGCTGCAAAGGCCAGGATCACCAACAGTCCAGTGAAGTAGGTCATCTGTGAGGGAGGGAGAGGACACGGCCCTGTTAGGTCCACATCACCGGGCACGTTGAGCCCTATGCTGGCTCTGTTGGGTCCTCAGCCAGGTAAATTAGAAGCTTCATTAATATGTGTGCTATTCCACACCCAGAGCAGACATTACCAGTCAATCTTCCATTCCACACTCAGGGCAGTCATTATCAATCTTAAATTCCACACCCCAATAGGCAGTCATGACAAATCATCTGTTCCATACCCTGACAGGCATTACTAATCAATCTTCTAAGACATCACGAATCAACCTTCCATTCCACACCCAGGGCAGGCATTACTAGTCAATTTTCCATTCCACACCCCAACAGGCAGTCTAACAAATAAGTTCCACACCCCCAATAGGCATTACTAGTCACTCTCCCTTCCACACCCTGGTCAAACATTACTAGCCAATCTTCTACAAGCAGGGCAGACACTTCTAACCATGTTAGACATTACTAGTCAATTTCCCATTTTTCTATGCAAAGCAAACAGATTCACTTCCATTCTCCACCCAGGGTAGGCATTCCGAACACCACAGGCCACTAGGCTACTGGAAGGGACAGCCTGGAAAATTCCAGAACTCTGTGGCCTGAGGGCCTCAGAACCTGGCTGCCCTGTTCTAGAACTTGGGTTATAGTCTGACACCCAGGCATGTGTGTCTGGGGTGAGTGGGGTCCCCACCTCTGCCCTGCACCCTAGCTGTCCACTCACGTTCCTCCCGATGCTCCTGTTGATCGGCTTCATGAGGAAGGAAGAGACAAACCCGCTCAGGTACATCACCAGGGGGATGGTGGCGATGAACTTCTGTCGGGGGAGAGAGGGCAATGGGGTTCCAGAGGTGGCTCAGGGGTGTGGGATAGGGCTGCCATCTCAACCCTGCTATCCTACCCCACTGGGCTCACCTTGGGCAGGCTGAGGGAGTAGGTCAGATACATGGCGATGTAGGTCTGAGACAGGTTCACAATGAGCCTTGTAGTCATGTACAGCATGCCCACCTGTGGGCAGATCAGCAGGGGACAAGCCAGGGGTCAGTGGGAGACTTCAACAACCACCAGGAGGGGCTCAGAGGCCTAGTTGAGGACACTGACTGACTTGTTAGGACTGCTCAGCAGGCCAAGAGAGTAGTGATCTGTGACTGATTAGTAATGGCTGCACAGGGACTGGAATAAAAAATCAACTGGTCATGGCTGCCCTAGGTGTAAAATGGAAATCAGTAATGTTCACCACTCTGCCTATGGAATGGAAGATTAATAATGTCTGTCCTGAGAGTAAAATGGGAGACTGACTGGTAATGTCTGTCTGGGGTATGAAGAAAGAGATATAGGTTTGTGTACCATGGGTGTGGAATTCGAAGTTCATTAGTAATGTCTAGCCAGGTTTTGGAATGGAAGTTCTTTCAACTGGTATGTCTTTAGTATAGTGCAGGGGAGGAGCAATTAGTAATGTGTGCCCAGGATATGGCATAGAGATAAGTATGTGTACCCTGGATGTGGACTAGAAAGTTGATTAATACTGTCTGCCCTGGGTGTAGAATGTAAGATCAATTTAGTAATGGCTGCCCAGGAAAGAAAGGTAAGTATATTGAATAGAGAAAGTTGATTAATAATGTCTAGACTGGGTGGTGAATGGATAATCAATTGGTAATGTCTGTCTTTGGTGTGGATTAGAAAATAGGTATCTTTTTTTTTTTTTTTTTTTTTTTTTTTTTTTTGAAAAAAAAAAAAAAAAAAAAAGAGGACGATAAATCTTTCACTGTGATATATCAAAATAA